TGACGACCAAAAATGAATTCGTCGATGACCTTAATAACACCTTGATCTCCACCATGCCCGGTGAAGAGAAATGCTACATTAGTTATGATGAGTTGCTCGATCGATCTTCACATCATGAGTATGCAGACTTCCTACACACAATCACATTGTCTGGATTACCTCCCCACAAATTGGTATTGAAAAAAAATGCCCACTAATCCTACTACGGAACCTAAACCCAGCCGAAGGATTGTGTAACGGGACCCGCTTAATATGTGATTACTTTCGAGATCATGTTATTAGTTGTTTCATAGCATCGGGAGAACACAAGGGCAAACATGTTTTCATACCAAAAATACCCCTTGAACCTTCAAAGGATGACAATTGTCCGTTTCCATTCAAGCGACATCAATTCCCCATCAAGGTCTGCTTTGCTATGACAATAAATAAGGCACAAGGGCAAACATTCAATTTTGTTGGGCTATACCTAAAAGAACAAGTTTTCTCGCACAGTCAACTATATGTGGCAATGTCAAGGGTAAAAAAAGCAGATTGTTTAAAAATATTAATTTGCAATAGCTCTTTAGACACACACCATACAAATATCACTCAAAACATTGTGTATCAAGAGATATTGAATTAAGCATGCAAAGCTCCTACAACCAAATAGGTTAGTCCTACACATTATGTGATTTTACTACAATTGTTTTGCCATTAAATAATTCTCACGATGTATACAGGTTGCTATGGCAAAAGCACTTGACTTAGTGGACATCACCCCACAAATGAGAGGATGGAGTTATCAAGTACGTATTGTGAAAAAATTCGATGAAAAGTTGTCAAGCAACACACCTGGAATACGTTTCATGCAACGGGTACCATCTTATACTATTGTACGTTGTTTAATGCTACATTGTCCTAAAGACTTGAGTGGTCATAGCTTATTTTGAACTTTAAATGTATACATAAGCTCTGTTTGGTAACAGTAATATGATTAAAAAATTTGATGATATCTGTTATGCTATTTCATAGAAGAGACCTGAACTTTTCATTTGTTTGGTAATATAATCTTAGAATGCTTTCATTAAAACATTGAATTGTTCCCCTTTTTTATTTCAGCGCCAAATATGCCCAACAGTTCACCTATGTTAATACTACCTCCATCCTCAATAAAAGCTCCTCATTAAACATGGTTATTTACTACATGAATTCATATACATGTTGGTTTATCTAAATTTATCACATTTAGTTTTTTAAATTATAGTGATCAATATTGGCCATATTTTTAGATTAACTAAATATAATGCTTCATTTGTGTGGAACTGTTTCTCTAAAAAATTACATGAAAGCTTAGTCTTATTTGTTCAACAATTGTTCTTTTTCTGCACACAAAAGTCTTTTGGGCATGATACTTTGTTCTGATGGAAGGTGTTATTTTTAACTTTCATTTTCTAGCTGCATTTTTTCAGCTATTAGCTCAACATGTCAAACATGGCTTAAAGAATTAGTGACATAACCAATTATATTATATTTTGTTCTAATTAGGGGTAGTAGTAGTTCCTGAAGTGTGACAAACTAGATGGACTGTGGTTCCCTTAACTTCAACTCATATTAATAGTATAAAATCTTTAACATTTGGATAAAAACAGCAGCCACTTCAATTAGTAATCTAAAATTTTACAGCATCCAATCAACTTCAACTTCTAATCCAGATACATAGTTCATAGCATCCAGTTTTAACATAATCTTTAATATTAGAGATTTTACACCATTACATCATATTAGTTTTAGTTCGAAACTTCAACAGTTTATGGTCATACATATGTAACTGTTTTGGTTGTGTAAATAGCATCTTCTATTCTCTTTATTGCTTCATTTAAGTCATTTTGATCGATCGGTAATTGTCAGGTCTTCATTCTGCAAGAATGGATATCAGACATTTAAATATGTCTCCTATATTTTCTAAACAGGACTTATTATCATTTACGCAGTTCGTACTTTCGATTTATATGTGGAAACAGTTAATTATGTTTTTAAAAAAACGTCTTTATCTCTCTTATAATGAAACCATTGACCATTCTAAACACCTTTATTAATGATTAAAAAGGGAATCCGAGTTCAAGCGGTGGTTTTTGACAACGGCATCCCAAGATACAACTCCACACTCCATCTTGACTCCTGCTACACCATTTCCAGTGCGAGTGTCAAACCTCAACGCCCTAATTACAGTGTTCCAGATGAGAGGTACAAGTACACATGGATATTAAGTGGTCGTACAGTCGTCCAACCGCTACGTGATTCATCTGCTTTCATCGACGCAAATAACAAAGTATACAACGCTTTCTATGATGTTTACCACTGCATTAAATCTGGAATTGAAATCTGTATGTTAACTCTCTAAAAATCTATACATTCAATTTGTTTATGACTACGCAAAAATCACCCTCATTTGTACTCATTTTTTGAAATTTTATTTTCCATACAGCACTTATGGGCGTTGTGATAGACAAACTCCCAAAGGAAGTCATTCCCACCAGTAAGGGTGATAAACATATCAAGGAGATTGTGTTGGTCGATGAAAAGTATGTCTGCCATAACACTTACATTTATTTATCACATAACCAACCATTCATTCATATGTATAAATCAATAACAAATGCATATCATTACAGGCTGAAATCAGTAGCACTGACTCTTTGGGGAGATTTTGATGATACTGAGGGAAGCGAAATTGTCAACTTGCTGAATGACAACGAATACCCCCTCATATCTATTGAAAATATAGGTGTCACACCCTTCAAAGGTAAATAGCTATAATAATCACTACCAATTATTTTCCAAAAAATGTTTTTCCCAACACATATTTTATCAATACACAAAACTAATAGTTTTATGAATATATATAAAGTTAATACTTTTAAGCATACACAAAGTGTAATCTGTTCAATCATGGGATGATCCCCGTTTTAAGTTCTTGCCATTTGATTTTTCTGGATAAATTAAAATTTAATAAATTAAAATGTAATACTTTTATCTAAACATGAGGAGGTGTTTTATGATTGATCACTGGTCTCTAATCTTATAAGACCTCCCTTGGCAGAATATGGAGATTCTAATTCCACATGAAGATGATGGATATAAAATAATTATTATGAAGTTTCAAATCATTTATATAGCATTTGTATTAATTAATAATATATTTGAATTTAAAGTAAAATAGTGTGTAGTACAACATAGCTAAAATGATCATGGGGTGGTAGTGCATATTTCAAATCTTACGTATTTTCTATTTCGAATAATGGAACATATGTATATCTACCTCCATGTCCACTTTGTCAACACATTATAGTTAAAGTATTTTCTATTTCAAATTATGTCATACCATATGCATCTATTTCCTCCATATAATGCTATCCTTGTATAATATACCTACATACGTAATTGTATAAAATTATTGTTGTTCTAAATTCTCATTATCACATAGTGTTCTATATTTTCACTATATATACGGGTTTGGAAGGTATTTCATTGTCCACAAAACCCCATTCTACAATAACAATCAATCCTATATCTTCAAGAGCTCAACAATTGCAAAAGTGGTACGTCACTGCATCACATATAATAAATATACATAATCTCGTACCAATTCCTTGTGTATGCTCTCACATTAACATTTGTTCCACCTTGCTTTATGCAGGGCAGTTGAAAATCGTCCTACGCTTGATGCACTAAAGATATGTCGTGAATACAATAACGCTGCAATTAACCTTGCAATTCCAGTCGTTGCTGAAATTTCTAAAATATCTGAAGTACCTCCATCAATTGATCTGGTATGTTCTGCAATACTTAAACAAAATAACTAATAATAATAATAATACATGGATCCATCATAACAATGATTGATTGACATGTTGCAGACGAAACCCGTTTGGATTCACGACAAAATCAATCTGCAGCTTGAAGGTGATAGTCTTTGGTACATGGCTTGTAGCAACTGTTTGAAAACAGTTTATGTAGATTCTGATACAAGGTTTTTTTGCATGCATTGTGGTACCGAGGATGCAATTGCTACTCCAAGGTCAGCTATCAAAAATACCTATTGAATATAGGATCAACCTTTTCTGAGTTCAAAAGTTAAACAAAATTCTATTGACAATTCTTGGATTTTTTATATGAAATTATTAGATCCAGAGCGAATGTCTCAATCACCGATACTACTTCAACAATTGATGCCTCGGTTTTTGGGCAATGCGTGGAAAAACTTCTGCTCATGACTAGCAAACAAATTATGGAAGTAGAGCTACAGGTTGAACAATTAACAAGCTACACTAATTTAATACTTTAAATTTAAAATACATGAAATATTATAATTTGACACTGCACAATATGTTGACCCCTCTTTATAAATTATGAAGGGTAAGAAGGCATCATTTCAATATGCAAACAAGCGCTTGGATAAGGAAGAGTATATTGTACAACTGAGGTCATAAGCAAGTACTTGTCAAACCAACCCAGGACCCTCCTACACCATAACATCTTTGCATGATGCATCTCATTACATTGTCACAACCAACATTGATCCATCGACCCCTCCTTCATCAAAGATGAAGCTCCCACACTCGGGAATACAAGATTCGCCTGTTGATTTGAAGCGGCAGAGAAAAGCTTGATTACTTATCACCATTACCCACTACTTCTATTACTCCAACTATTTTCCTAGAACTATTGCTTTATTTTTCTTTCAAGCGCTACAGCCCAATACATATTTGACTACTTCTTTGATTAAAACATTTTTGTGTTTATTATGTGTGTATTGATATAAAACACAAACATATACTACTGTTTCATGTGAATCTCACTACTATTCTGTTTATTATAATCATGTTGTCTATTTTATTTTCCCACATATATTCTATCCTATAAATGCTTTACTGTTTATGATTCTTTATCCATAAATAACAAATTATGTATTCAACCATTTTACTCATATAAGTCATATTTTCATTAAACTTTAACTAAGATATTGTGTGTCCCTACATTGACATTGGGCATTACTACGAACGCGCAACGCGCGTTATTAAACTAGTCAATTATTATAAATGTTTACTGTTTGTAAAAAACTCACATCTCAGGAACATTTATTCATATTATGTACTTCAAAATTAAAAATAATACAATATATAATACTCCCTAAAAAAGAGGTAATTTTTTAAAGCTCCAGGTTGAAGCTTCCTAAACCTCTCTTTCAATTCTGCCATACAGAGACTTTGTAGGATGAAACGTAGCAGAAGTTGTAAAATGGTGGCTACATATATATGCCTTATGACTTGAAAGGTGTAGTCAGTACTCAGTAAGGCCAAAACCCCACCATGAAGAGGCTGTCTGGTCCTCAATGGAAAACCCCAAATTGCACAAACTTGCTATACTTTGGTGTCCATGATCTTCTTCAAGTCTTGGGAGCAGGCAAGATGGCTGGAAAATGTTCCTACTGCTGCTGCTGATCAGGCTTTCACCTTCATCCTGAGAGAAATCAGACTCCAATATGTGTGATGAAGAGTAGTTCCCATCAGTGTAATGTGGGCTTTCTGAATCAAGAATATCACTTTTAACCCAACTTGCATTTTCATGCTTGCACACCACTGGAGATCTATCTTCTTTTGGGAAGATCAAACTAGCACAATGCTCTATGTGAGGTTCATTGTCATCATTACATGTGCTGGTTTTATGGGTCGGTTCGAATTTTGCGCTACACTGTTGTTCCTGAATGAGCAATTTATCTCTTAGCAGCAGAACCTATAAAACATGGAAAAGAGTGTCAAGAACATCGTCCTCGATAAGCTTCTGAATTTAACTACAACACTTGCATCCCAAACACATCCTTACCCTCCTTTAGACACAACCAACAATTTGTAAATAAATCACGAAAGAGCAAAAGTCAATGGGATGATCTTACCTATAGAATTTGATAAATGTAAGACATTTATATAATACTCCGTAGATCTTAGAAACCAACATACTTCGTATAAGACATTGTGCTACTCCCTTGGTAGGTTATTCCTTCTATCATCTTTTTTAGCATGAACTCAAATATCAATCTAATATGTAGCCACTTCGTTGGCCTCATACAAAAAAGTGCATGTTTCAGATACAAGGCTGTTGAGACATATTCCCCTGTAAGATAAAATTTTGTACTACTCCGATCATATTGACTTTTGAACCCGGTTTATTTGATGATTGAAGTGTGGGATGGAAGACAGGATGATCCTCAACTAATGGTGAGGTCGAAGTGAGGGGATTAAGAATCTTTTGGTTGTTAGATCTTAAATTAGGACTGGTGTCCAACAAGCAGAGGATGGCAATGGTTTTACCTCATTCTTCAGATTTTCGTTCTCCCCAGAGAGCAAATCATGATCAGCTTTCAGTTTATCAAAGCTAGCTTTCAGGGAATCATAGTCCTTCTCAATCAGTTTGACCTTTGAGCGCGCTCTCCTGTTCTGGAACCAAATTGCAACTTGTCTAGGCTGCAGGCCGAGTTCTTTAGCTAACTGCAACTTTTTCTCAGGCTCAAGCTTGCTTTCTACCTCAAATATCCTCTCCAGAAACCGGACCTGATCTCCTGCAAGTCGCCGTTTCTTCTCGGGCCGATGAAAGCAACCTTCATACTCCTCAATGCCATTATCTTCCTTGTCCATTGGTGTTAACTGTGGCTGCTCTTTCACTATTTCTTGTTCTGATTCTTCAAAGTCCACTGGTGAAGCACAGCCTAAAACACAGAATTATCAAACAGATGAGTCACCCCCTTAGAGCAACTCATATAGTACAAAAATACAAACTCACATATATGACAGCAGAATCCTTCCCTGATCAAAAAAGGAGCATACAAATGTCTCCTTTAAGAAATGTTTGGGAATCTCTAAAAGAAATATTAGCATTAAAAAGTGTAGTTTCCCTTTTCTTGCAAATAGGAATAGAACATTATTGTTCACATTAATCTAGTCTCTTTACTCCTGCCACTTCAGCACATATAGTGAAAGTTCAACCATTAACTTGGAATCTAAGCATAAACCCAATCCTGAATAAAACTAAAAATACCCCAAACATCTCTACCCACACTGCAAATATAGAAAACCCCGAAAGTGAGAAGTATATCCTAGGAAAGGACTACAAACTTGAAGAGTGAAGACCACCCATATAAGGAATACAAACAAATGATTACAAAAGGTCAAAACTTTGGCATTTTGGGTGGGTGTAAGATTAAAATTACCATTGAGAGAAGGGTGGTTTTGAGGGTTTGAAATCCAAACAGCTTCTATAACACCAGTAGCATCAAATGTACTAATGTTTCCACTATCCATATCTAGTGTTCTTTGTTGGCTGTTCAATCTTCTCCTTACAGAAGAGTCCCGAGGCTTATAGAGAGAGGAAATGGAAATCAGTATGGGTGGGTGTACTGTACTGCTTTAGGAAAGATGCCAAAGTCTCACTGATATGGTGAAGAAACTAAACAGTATAGACATGAAGAATGCAAGAAGAGATTGTTCTGTGAAAAGGAAGAAGGTGATGGGGATTAATGATTAAACAAAGCAGCAAAGCCTCGAATTCTGTGATTAATACTTTTAAGAGGATGTAGATTGAAGCTACTAGAGTGGTTGTGGACCTGTGGTGATTGAAAATTGCACGGCTGTTAGCATTTCTCTTATCCCTTACTTTTATAGTTGAAAATTCATTCACATGTTCATCCTAACTAAAGCACCATACGTACTTTCCTGGAGATCCACACTGCTAAAGGGCCGTTTTTGGGTAAAAATTTTACAAAAGCTAAGACCAAGTTGTGATTTTACCCTATCGGTTAATATATCATGCTCGTTTGTCTCTTTAATTTTGTCTATTTTTCTTTTTTAGGATCATCCCATAAATTTTCACTTTCTCTTTTGAACAAATAATGAACACTCATACTATACTCGGTTCCCTAAGGGTATGTTTGGGAGTTCGGAGGGAAGGGGAGGGGAAGGCTTTGGAGGTATGTTGTTGGAGGGGAAAGGGAGGGGGTGAAGAAGCCCTTCTTTGTATTTGGGAGTAATAAATTTGGAAGAACAGAGTTTTTGAATGAATTATAATTAAAATTACTTTGAGATATGACGAATTTAAATAATTGAACTGATATTTATTTTTAATTGAGCTTAAATTACCATTTCATTAATTATCCTTCAAAACACTCCAAATTGGGAGAACTTAAAAATTAGGCATTTAGAGGATTTTGGAGGGTCATGAAAGCCCTCCAAAACCATCCCCTCCAGTTTTATAAACTCCCAAACATGAAAAGGAGGGTTATAAACCCCCATCAACCTCTCCCTCCCCTCCAAAACTCAACTCCCAAACACACCCTAAAAGTTACGACAGTTTGACTTTCACTTTTGACAACGCGCAACTTTGACTGTAATTATATTTATTTACGTATTAGTAAACATTAAAAAAGTTAATATGTTGGAAATTTACACTAATACAAATTTATTAATAATTTAAACATAATATTTTTATTATATATATTATTAGAAAATCGTAGTCAAAATAAGGTGTGTGAATATTGCAGAAATTCCAATGTTGTAACTTTTATGGAACGGATGAAGTATTATTTTCCCTATTCCGTACACTTATTAATCATAGAGTTTTTACTTTATTATTTCATTCGGTTAAAAAAATTATAAGAAACGGATGAGTAGATAGGATAATCATTTTTAGTACCAAACCTACCCCAAATCATTCTCGAAAAAAATGAGCGGGTTCAAGATTTTAAATTTTAATACACAAGTTATCTCTTTTTTATGTTATAGGAGTACATTTTTATAATTTTATTTTATTTTAATATATTTATTTAATTTTTCTTTATAACTTTTTATTTATTACGAGTCTAGTCTAATTCTGGTATAATAAAAAATCTAGTCTAATTAGCTATCAGTGCATCACATACTTTAACTACTAAGAATATGCATACTTTATAATTTAGAACCCGTTTGGTAACACTGAAAATGGCTGAATTGGTTGATTCTGCTGAAACTTATGACGTTCTGGCTGAAGTGGTTTTATTGGCTGATTCTGTTGATTTTTAAAAAAATTATATTTAAAATATTTGTTATTAATAAATCAAATAAGAAATTATATGAAAAAATAGTTAAAATGATCCTCTACAGTAGCTTCAGTCAAAACAATCAGAAAAGTAACTCCAACCTTACTTTCTGTTATCATTTCACAATTCAGCACGCAGAAACTAAAATTACGTTTTTCGTTAAAAAGCTGGCTGATAAGCTTAATAAGTCCAAAAAAGGTGTTAATGGGTATTAATTACTCTATTACACTCCCTCAAACTGTGTAGGGGAAACAATGCGCAGATTGTCTGTAAGAAAAATAAAACGATGTGGAGACAGACTCTTTGTAAAAATATCTGCAAGCTGAAACTGTGTCGGAACATAACGAACAACCAGATCTCCATGTGAGACTCTCTCACGAACAAAGTGATAATCAATGCTGATGTATTTGCTCCGAGCATGCTGAATAGGATTTGTAGATAAGTAAGAGGCCGAAATATTATCACACAACAATCGCACGGGCTGAGAAATCGGCACCCCTAACTCGAACAGTATAGAACGGATGTGGAGAGTATCCTGAACTGTGTAGGCAATAGCCCTGTACTCAGCTTCCGTCGAAGAGCGGGAGACAGTCGGCTGCTTCTTGGATTTCCACGAGATTAAATTAGGGCCCAGAAAAATAGCAAAGCCTGAAGTGGATCGACTGCTATCAGGACAACCAGCCCAATCAACATCAGAGTATGCCTGTAAAATAGGAGGAGTAGTACTCGGCTGTAGGAGCAAACCATGATCTGTAGTTCCCTGAAGGTACCTAAAAATACGCTTAACAGCCAAAAAATGTGAAGTGCGAGGAGCATGCATAAACTGAGAGACCAAGTGAACAACAAATGTAATATCTGGTCGAGTCATTGTCAAATATTGTAAGGCACCTACCATACCTCTGTACTCCGTAGGCTCAGCTAGAAGATCACCATCAGTGAGAGATAGCTTAGTTCTAGTAGGTAGCGGAGTACGAACAGGTTTAAGAGTGTGAAGATGAAACCTGGTTAGGAGATCAGACACATATTTTTGTTGAGACAGAAACAAACCTGAGGACGTTTGAACAGCTTGAACACCTAGGAAAAAATGTAAGTTCCCCAAATCTTTCATGGCAAAACAGCGGCCAAGACAAGAGATAAATGTAGAAATAAAGGAAGGGGAATTACCAGTGATAATAATGTCATCCACATACAGCAACAGATAAAGAACATGTGACCCATGGCGATAAATAAATAAAGAATTATCGGACTTGCTACAAATAAAACCATGAGTCAACAAAAAACTACTGAAGCGATAGAACCAGGCCCGTGGAGCCTGTTTGAGACCATAGATTGCCTTCCTGAGGCGGCAAATATGATTAGGAAATTGTGGATGTATAAAGCCAGGAGGTTGACGCATATAAACCTCTTCAGTGAGATTGCCATGAAGAAAATCATTTTTGACATCTAACTGACGAATGGTCCACCGACACGAAACAACAAGAGATACAACAATACGCACGGTGGTGGGTTTGACAACAGGACTAAAGGTCTCAGAAAAATCCACACCAGCTTGCTGAGTAAATCCCTGTGCAACTAAGCGTGCCTTATAACGCTCAACAGACCCATCAGATTTAAATTTTGTTTTATAAATCCACTTAGATCCAACCACATTTTTGCCAGCGTGAAACGGAACCAAATCCCACATATGATTATCAATTAAAGCATTAAACTCCTTTGCCATAGCGGCCCTCCATTTAACATCTTTATTAGCCATAGAAAAACAAGAAGGATCACATGCTGAAAGATCTGTTTTCAGAGAAAATATTTTTAGGTTTAAAAATGCCAGATTTAGCACGAGTTTGCATTGGATGACAATTTTTAGGAGAAGGTGCGGGCGGGATGAGGCTAATATCACGAGGGCTGGTCGTATGGGAGGAGTGTAAGGATGGTGGTGAGGAAATAGGAGAGGTGGGTACGTGAGGGCTGTCTGCTGCCGAAGGAGTGGCGGTGGAAGTGGTTGGTGAGTGCACGGCAGAAGCACTGGCCGCTCGTGAAGTAGACTGTGAGCAGTTTGGGGACTGCCGCAGTATGTCGAAATCAGGCAAATGTTCGGCTGGTAGCTGGTCGGGTGTATGGTGCTGATGCAATGTTACGGTATTAACGCTGGACAAATTCGTGGGAGATGTGGAAGAAGTTAAAGCAGAATATGGAAAATAATTTTCATAAAATCGCACATTTCTATTGATGTAAATCTTGTTAGTAATAGGATCGAGACAACGATAACCTTTATATTCAGGGGCATATCCTAAAAATACACATAAAGTGGATCTAGGTGAAAGCTTGTTGGCAGATGTGGCATTAAAATTTGGAAAGCAGGCTGATCCGAAGACACGCATAAAAGAGAAGTCTGGAGTATGGTGGAATAATTTTTCAAAAGGAGATATGCCATTTAAATTAGGTGTAGGAAGACGGGTCATAATAAATGTTGCGGTAAACACCGCATCTACCCAAAATTTAGCAGGCATGTTTGCTTCAAAAAGCATAGTGCGAGTTAATTCAAGGAGATGCATGTGTTTACGCTCAACTACACCATTTTGCTCAGGAGTATCGGGGCATGATTTGCGAAATAAAATGCCATTTTTGACAAAAATATCACGCATTCCATGATTATCAAATTCACCCCGCCATCACTTTGAAAAATTTTAATTTTAGAATCTAGTAATTTTCCACCATTAATTTAAAGTGTTGAAAATGTGTAATGACTTCACTTTTATGGCGCATGGGATAAAGCCAAGTAAATCGAGAAAAGTCATCAATAAATAAGACATAATATTTAAAACCACTCACAGAAAGAATAGGAGACTGCCAAACATCAGAATGAATTAAAAATAAGAGAGCAGTAGATTTATGCCACACTTCTTGAAAAGGTAATCTTTGTGACTTGCCTAAGCGACAAGAAATACAGTCATGAGAAAAACTAGAAGTACTAGTAATAGTGCCAGATTTTTTTAATTTATCTAAAATACGACTTCCACAATGTCCCAAGCGACGATGCCAGACCGGGCCGGGAGCAACATGAGAGATGAGAGCTACTGGTGAGGGATGTGTGAAGGAAATAGGATAAACACCGCCATTACTGGAAGCTTGGAGGAGCACCTTCCCCGAAATTGTGTCCTTAATAAAAATAGAATTTTTATCAAAAATCACAAAACAGTTATTATCGGCACATAATTTTTGAATAGATAGAAGATTGTATTTAAGATTAGGCACATGGAAAACAGATTTTAAATGAAGAGACCGTGGCATAGTAGATAAATGCAGATCACCAACAGTCATAATAGGGAGATTAGTGTCATTAGCAACTGTAATTTGTAGCGGTCCAGAATAAGTAGATTTATTTTGAAAAATACCTTCATTTGATGTCATGTGAGCAGAAGCACCTGAGTCAGGATACCAAACAGCTGGAGTGGATTCACCAGTAGAAACAGCCAAGGCAGGGGCCTGAGCTTGAACAAAACGAGATGGACACGCAACAGCTGAATGACCTGGAGAATGACAGATTTGACACACAACAGGGGGAGGGACCGAACCAAAACTATTCTCAAAAGACGGAGATCCTGCAGAAGCATAGTTAGTACAAAAAGGAGATAGAACCGGAGTATAAAACGATGACGCAATAGAATT